TCCCAACCCGAAACCCCCAGCCCCAAAGAAATCCCAGCCACAACATTGCGAATTCCTCAGGGAGGTGCCAGTCTCATCCTCTTATCTTTCCCTCACGCCTCAGGAGATGAAAGAAAACGTTTTTCTCCCTGAGTCTGGCCTTCATAATTCCATTCCATCACAGCGTCACACATATGGATGCTTGTGCCTCTGTGGTGCCCTTGTTTGGAACCATCTAGAGCTGAAGAGCTTCTTGGGTGGGAGACTTGCCCCATCCCTACATATATTAGTACAGCTTCTGGCCTGAACTCAAGTTACTTTTTATTACCATTATAGTGACCTTGACTTTAAGATTCTTTCTACAAACCTTTTCATAACATTTTCCAGTCTCTTCAGTTTGGTCCTTCTTGCACTTCTTTTGGAGAGTAACAATTACCTGTGACCAGTCCAGATCCTCCCATCAGGCCTCATGCAAAGACATTGATTTGGGGGGGGGGGATTATGTGAAACCACCCTCCAGATGCCTGTTCAGATGGTACTGATTTCAGCCAACTTTCTGTAAGCTGTTCCACAGGAATGAGGATACTCTACCTGAGATCCAGGTTTTCAGACATAACAGTCCTTGGCTCTATGGCATCTTGCACTATGCAGATACTGTTGCAGTTATTTTCCAACTAGTCCTGGAGCTCTAGATCAGACTTAGCTGAAGTCTGTGTCAGACATCTGATCAAAACCTTAAGCGTTTTATCCCTAATCATCTTCCATTTTGAATAGATTAGAGTCTAATTGCTTCTATTTTCCCCCTTCTGAACAATTCACACCCTTTCTAGTGGGCGAACAAGGTCTGTTCCCAGAATGCTGGAGGACATCAGATATGATCTAAAAACCACCACTGCCCTGACTGAGTAGATCTCTGTGTTTCCTTCCTTCAGTCCCCTCTCACAGTGCAGTTAAGAGTAATAAACACCTGATCCCTATCCATGCTGTCCCAGGAACATTCTACTACAAACCATCCTGTTGCATCAGTCCAACATTGTCTGCTTTTAGGCCACACCTGTGGCCTCTGAACTCTCACAAAGCCTTTCTTCCTAGGTGGGCAGGTATTTTCTAACCCTTTTTTCAAATCATTAATACGTATGTTGAACAGTACAGGGCCTAGCACAGGGCCATAAAGTATTCCACTCTACGCTTTCTTCCAGCTTGACATGGAGCCACTGACATACACTCATAAGGTATGATTGTGAAGCCCATGTAACATCTCTTCCTGCTTGGAACTTCTCATCTTCTTTAAGCTCATCTAGAAGCTGTTTGAACCACTTGCGAACTGCAGGATCACCTCTGCGCAACACACTAGTAGTCTATGTGCTTTGTCCTCACATCTGATTTTAAATAATTCATGTGGACCACATAATGCTGAACACAGTATCAGTATTTCATTTCAGCCAGGACATCATCCTCTTTACTTTCTTTCCAAATCTCTCTAATCAATTGGAGAGATCTATATAGAGCATTCGCCTTCTACTTAGATGAGACATCAGCCTTTCACAAAAAGCCCACTTTCACTATGCTTGTCTCTCCAAGTGTGTCACTGCTATCATATGTCTCTGTTGTGGATTGTGCCAGATATCATCAGAAGTCATTCTACCTGAATTATGTCAGGCCATCAGGGATATTCCAATTGCCAGAAGTTTGCAGGGACTATGCAGGCAAAACTCTGAATGTTTGTAAAGCATTACAGGCTGGACATTTGGTTCATAGGGATGCAGTTTTTGGAGGGTGGCTTCCTTGTTTCTGACCACCAAAATCTGCCTGCAGGTAATTTAACTTGCGATCTACCCATATATGTGATTCATAGAAACCACAGTGAAAAACTAATAACAAATTTATAATTAGGACTCTTTAAATGAGCATCTATGATTTTGTCACCCCATCCACCTTTCTTTCCCAGGTGGAGTTCTTAATTCTAAAAGTATGCCCACTCAAATAATCTCAGTTACCGTAACTAACCATATTTTTCCCTTTTCATGAAGCAGTCCTCTTGTGAGAGTTGATTTCTGAAAGCTGACTTGGACGCCAGATAGACATTGATTGATTAATTATATGCCATCAGATTGGTGTTGCCTCTTATCAGCCATATAGATACATTTTCTCCATGACCATCTGTCCCTAACCTGATCCTTCAAGTCTTCTAACTGCACCCATCACCACTGTAACTGAGTCCATCCAACTTGCTGCTGGTCATCCTCTTCTTCTCTTTCCTTCTACCTTCTCCAGCATTAGAGCCCTTTCTAGAGAGCTAGGCCTTTGCATAATGTGTCCAAAGTAGAATAATTTGAGCCTAGTCATTTCTGCCTTGAGTGAGAACTCTGGGTTGATTTGTTCGACAACCCATTTATTGTCCACAGTACAGCCAAGAATGGTATTCTCAGGAGTCTTCTCCAACACCAAAGTTCAAAAGTGTCAATACTTTTTCTGTCCTGCTTCTTCAAAGTCCAACTGTCACTTCCATAGAGTGTTACAGGGAATACCATGCCTTGCACTATTCTGATCTTTGTAGGTATAGGCACATCACAACATTTGAATATCTTTTCCAAAGCCTTCATAGCTGCTCTACTGCTATGACTGCTTGTTCCTTTACTAATGATGGTTAATCCTAAAAGGCAGAAGTTGTACCACTTTCATATCTTCATTGTCGGTTCTAAGGCTGGTTGTTGTACCTGTCGTCATTAGTTTAGACTTCTTTATATTTAATTTTAGTCCCATTTTTTCACTGTGCTCCTTGACTTTTATTACTAGAATTTGCAGATTCTTTGCATTTTTGGCTATTGGGTTAGCGTCATCAGCATAGTGCAGGTTATTGATGTTTCCTCCTCCAATTTTAAAACCACACTCATCTTCTTCCAATGTGGCTTCCCTTAATATACTATATATTCAGCATATAGGTTGAATAAATAAGGGGAGAGTATACAGCCTTGTCTTGCTCATTTGTCCACCTGGAGCCAGTCTATTGTGCCATATTCTGTCCATGCTGTGGCTTCTTGAACTGTATATGGGTTTCATGTGAGGACAATGTTCTGGGATTCCCATTTTTCATAGCACATTCCACAAGGAACATTAGATCTTTGTTATTAAAGGTTTTGATGATCTCTCCTGACAGTGAGGCTTATCCAAGCTGCACAGTGACTGGTGTCCAATTTTGCTCTGATGTTCGCAGATTGATGAAGCTGGATTCGGAGAGGTAGGCTTTCAAAAATTTTGCTTAGATCTGAGTTATTCTGAGTCTCTTGGAATTTGTGGAGGAGAATGTTCTGCGATTTCTTTGCATAAGGATTGTGCTAGAGAGAACATTGGTAAAAAATGACTAGATAATAATAAGCACCACTGTGAAAAATGTCATCACCCTGCCATATCTGGTGAAGAGGCAAAAAAGAAAGTAGTTTCTTGTCCTTTGTTTAGGAAACAAAGTTTTTCACCCCAGCTATACTTTATCCAGCTGTGTACTCCCTTATAATACAAGTGTCTCAACAGAACCCATTCATTCTGTTTTTGGTCCCTGTCATTTTTGCATATTGTTTTACCTGTATAATTCAATTCTCTAGATTAATTTGCTATTTAAAAAAAAGCTTCTCAAAATATGTATTTAATATATTGGTTCAGTTCATTTTATTTATTGTTCATTTTTTTTAAAAAACCCTGCATATCAGGTTATGTTTCACTGGAATGAACACATTATAGTTAAAAAATACTAATTTGATAAAAACAGCATGATTTCTAGTCCCACTTTAGGCACAAAGCCAGCTGGGTGACTTTGGGCAAGTCCTTCTCTGTCAGCTTGAGGAAGTAGGCAATGGCAAACCACTTCTGAAAAATCTTGCCAAGAAAACTGCAGAGACTTGTTCAAGCAGTTATCAAAAGTGATTTGAAGGACCAAAAAAATTGATAATATATCTGGAAATGCATATAAAGCAATAAATCTTTTATAGTTCTCTGAAAACAGGCCTACAGAAGCAATCAGCAGTACCGGTCTTGGTGAATAGATGTGTCAAGCTCATTTTGGAAGATTATAAAACTTGGCGTCAAGCCTGAATTACTAAACAGGGAGAGAATGCCGTCATTTGAGGCACTTGTCTCAAAAACACCCTCTCCTGGCTTCAGCCAATCAGCCTTTTGCTCTGTGAATAAAAGGCACTTCCAGTTTTGGAGCTGCGGCCATGAAAGAAAGGTCTCAATACAAAAAAATATTCATATTTTCCTATAGGCTTTTTAAATTTTTCAATTTTAATACCAGTTAGTAATAAAAAATCAGATGAATCCAAATTGAATACATAAATTTATACATAACTGAAACAAATGTACATTTCCCTTTATTTCTCATATAATATAACATTTCTGAAGTAACAAATATATGACAATTTCAAGAATAGGTAATTAATGTTGTTATCTTTTGAAATGCACTTATAAATATTTGTTTTGATGCTGTGAAAAGTTTTTCAATAATTGGGAGAAATACAAAATCCAGTGGATAATTAAATAAGATACTGATCGCCTAAGTGCTTATAGGAATGTGAAAATATTGAATTCTCTAAGCATCTGGCTTGAAACTTTTCCCCCCCAAATAATCTACCTGTCTTGCTTACATATACCCTGAGCACCAAGAGACTAGCTGAGGTCCTCTATCGTAAAGCCCATTTCATAGGATTTTAGGAAATGAATGAAACTATGGTTCAAATTCTTGTTATACTCAGTAGGCATATAAAGATTTTCCTTGCATGAGAAAAGAAGAAAAGAAACAAAATCTTTGTTTTAAAAGCATAATAGACACAATGAATCAGATCAAAAATTTGCTTGGCCCAGCATTTTGTTCTCACAGTAGCTAATCATATGCCTGTGAAATGCCAGCAAGCTAAACTGAGTACAAGAGGGTCTTCCAATAAAACCATCAGAACCAACAGCCAATGATATGGTCCATGAATTTGTCTTAATTGCCTTTTAAAGTCAACCAAATTGCTGTTCATCAAAGGTGTGTTCTAATCAAAGGGACCCTTCCTGCCAGTTGGCATTATTCATCAGCTTTTCTGCCATCATAAAATACACTATTTTCTGAATGATATCCCGAAACATTCTTTTCAGTGTAATTACATATCAGCAAAAGAGAAGAATAAAGAGATCCAGCCCAGGAATAATGGAAGACCCACTCAACCTGATCTGGTCATTATGGCCTTCACAGCACTGTTCATAGAAGATATTTTTACAGTTTTCTTCCAAGTCATAAATGCCAAACATTTTCATTTGTAAGAACATGTAACATGAGATTTGGAAGGTGCTGTATTCACTATACAATCCAAATGCCCCACACCAAAGTGGAACTTCTGCAGTTACAACTGCCATTAACTACACTAAACTCTGGGTGTTGTAAAGAAATGGATGGCTGCATTAACTTTTTTTTTCTAATTTTGTACCTGCCAGGCGCAAGGCAATGAAAGGGAGGCTTTACTTCACAACCAAGGCTCAAAAGGAGGGGAAAATTATGATCAAAATCCATCCGTGTTCCCGAATCTTCTGCTGCCGTATATGTGGCTTTGAAGAGGTACACAGAATATGAAGATATGTACTGATCATTAAAAATCAGCACTGGGAAGTTTGGGTCTCCTGTTCCCCCACTGATGTGTTTATATGTTACCAGCCATTGAACTGGACTAGAAACAGCTGCCTTCAGCCACAGAATTATCATATACTGATCATAAAAGAAATAATAGCCCAGTTCAAGAGCAAAACTGGCTGCCCAGTCCTGCCATCCCACTCACTTAGGCTGAGCAAATAGCAAAGATTAATTTTAACTTTGGACTTCCAGATCATTTTTTTTAGGAGAACAACTGGGCCCAGTTAAGCTCTTATCTAAGAGGAGCCATATCATCAACACTTCGACTCTTTCCTTTTATTGAACGCATTGTTCATTTTTTTAAAAGGGAAATTGTAGCCATGCCACATCCTCATCACCTACATGCTCAGCGGTTGTATCCCCAAAAGTATTATCAAGGGACTATACGAGTAAACACATGCCCCTTTTCACCCTGAAAAGAAACTATGATGGGTCAGGGTTTCTATTTGTATGAACATACCCCGTGAACCTCTGTCTTCAGGCATGAAGTACCCTTCATGTTTTACTTACTTACTTACTTACTTATAACATTTATATTCCACTTTCCTATAGTAGCTGGAGACAGCAACAGAGCAGCGGGTCTCCCCTGTTTTTATCCCCATAACAGTAAACATGTGAGGAGAGTTGGCTGAAAAAGAATGATTGATCTGAAGTACTTCATGGCGAAGATGGGGACCTGAACACCAGTTGACCAATACTACCCATGTGTTTAGCAAATATATAAAGGGAATCATTTGAATATCCTGATAGGAAAAGCAATAAAAAGTGAGGGGGAAAGGTCTGATCAGGAAATAGGGCAAGTATGGCAAATATTTAAAAGTGGCCCCATGTTTCAGACTTAAACTAAAGGCAGGAATAAGCTATGATTAATTTAAATAATATTTTCCTCTCTGACTTATTATAGGGCTCCCAAAGCACTTCACAGACCAGTAAAACTTTAAAGATGGTAGCACAGTTCTGTGCCTTTTCTGAAAGCCTGCTTCAGTTAGCACCATTGTGAGGACATTATATTATGGTGTCTCTTACTGAGCCTGTCATTCACTTTATATGGTGGTGGTTGCTTTTTCTCATGTGGCGTCTGCCAGAAAGATTTGGAAAGACGCAGTTTCTCTCTCCCCCTTGCATGGAGCAAGCCAAGAGTTGTTTCTTCACTGCTAATATCGTTATGGGGTCTGGTCATTGATTCTCTTTCATTAGAAGAAGAATCTGTTTATCTTCTTGGTGGAAATGCTTGGATTAAACCACCAGATATCATTTCACGTTCTTTCCGAAAGAACTGTGCGTTATTTGGAGAAACAGCCAATGACGGCTGTCTCTGGAGAATACAGGAAGACTGTTAACCCCATCCAGCATTTGTTCTAGCTGACATTTTTAAATCAATGGGAAAAAAAGTAAACCTCTTTCTTTTTGGTTAGGTGGATGCTGAGCAGTACTATGGGGAGCTAGAGGAGAAACTGACAGACGAGTTCAATGCTGAGCGCAGCCGGATTGCTCTCAAGCGCCTTGACATGGCTTTCGTCACATTCCAGGATGAAAGGATGACAGCCACGTGAGTCTTCCTACTGCAAGGCCAGCCTAAGACTTTGCTATCTGAAGCTAAGAAGCCAGTGGGCTGACACAGTACTTCAGAATTAGCAGCAGGCTTCTGCCACAGTTGAGGCAGCAGAATAATTTAGAGCAGTGTTTTTCAGACTTGGCAACTTCAAGATGTGTGGACTTCAACTCCCAGAATTCCCCAGCCACCATCTTAAAGTTGCCAAGTCTGAAAAACACTGATTTAGAGGGCCCATAGCAAACTGTGGCACACATGATTCTCTCCTTCAGAGGAAAGAAATAGCTGAGTTACTGAGGGGTAAAGGCTCAAATTGTCACTATTGCTCCCCAGCTATTCTGTCTTATTTTTGCTTTATTTTTCCCAGTGGTAGGGCCAGCCATGACTAAAATGATTTCCAAAGGCAGAAGTGGATAATTCAATTGCTATGAAAGGCTGCATTCTCTCAGCAAAAATCTGTTCATGGCTGCATGCTTGCAGGCATCTCTATTTCAGAGG